CCACCGGCTCGACACCCTGGTGAAGAAAACCCACTTGCTGAGCCTGTCCTCCCTCACCTACCAGAGGCACAGCAATCGCACAACTGAGGAGGTACTGCTGCAAACATATGGGGCACAGCAGGTGTGACCCAGGCTGTGCTGGCCTGATGGCATCCCTCTGGGACAAGGGGACCTTGGTCTTTGGGCGCAGTGTGGGAGGGATTTGGCTGGAGAGGAGACAGACCTGCAGGGCCTCTGATCTCCTGAGTGCCTGGTTGGCGCCTTGTTCCAGCCACAGCATCCCTGGTATGGGTCCCTGCTGTAGGGCTCTGGGGTGGTCCCCAGGGCTCTGGTCCTCACGCCCTGCCTGCGAGGACTGGCAGGGCTCCCAGCCCCCGTGCGTGAAGCCTGTGGACAGGGACTATGGGTGGCTTTGCCGTGCTGAGTCTCTGACCCTCTGTGCCCAGGAGCTGCCCCTGCGGGATGGGGATGATGGTTTCCACACGCACCAGCTGCACCTGGTGGACCTGCGGGCATCCTGGACTACCACCAACCGGGACATCGCCTTTGGCCTCTACGACGGCTACAAGAAAGCGGCTGTGCTCAAGCGCAACCTGTCCACCGAGGCCCTGAAGGGGCTGAAGATCGACACGCAGCTGCAAGCCAAAAAGCTGAAGCGGGGCCCGCTCTCTGCTCACTCCATCCCTGCCAGAGTGACTGCTCCCATCATTAGCGGCCGTCCTGAGAGAGCCTCCTCGGGAGGTGAGCACGGCAGGGAGGGGAGCAATGGGAAACCCAAAGCCATGCCTGCCTTCACCCTGCAGCCTTGCACTGACCCTTTCTCCTTCCCCAGGGGCCTACATGCTGCAGAAGCTCATTGAGGAGACGGACAAGTTCGTGGTCTTCACGGAGGAGGAGTCGGGGGCTAGCGAGCAGCTGTGCGGCATTGCTGCCTGCCAAACAGACGACATCTACAACCGCAACTGCCTCATCGAGCTGGTCAACTGCCAGGTACCTGCCCTTGGCCAGCCCGCCTGTCCCCAGCTCTCTGCTCCCCACAGCCTTGCTGTGAGAGGGGCCATGCCTGGCCCAGAAGGGCTCGTCTGACCCCCGTGGTCTCCCCCCGCAGATGGTGCTGCGCGGCGCAGAGACAGAGGGCTGCGTGATTGTGTCTGCCGCGAAGGCCCAGCTGCTGCAGTGCCAGCACCACCCTGCCTGGTACGGGGACACGCTGAAGCAGAAGACGTCCTGGACATGCTTGCTGGATGGCATGCAGTACTTCGCCACGACAGAGAGTGGCCCCACTGAAAGGGAGCACGGGCAGCTCTGGCTGGAGGTGAGCAGCTCAGGGAGGCTGTGATGGGTGAGCTGTTGTGTTGAGGACAGGCAGCGCTGCCGGTGCCCTGGCCAAGGCAGGGAGAGCAGGGACAGCCAGTGGTGCCTCCTTGTCTCCCCAGGTGAAAAATATTGAGGAGCATCGGCAACGGAGCCTGGACTCGGTGCAGGAGCTGATGGAGAGTGGGCAGGCGGTGGGGGGCATGGTCAGCACCACCACAGGTACTGCCCGCAGAGCTGGCTGCTGTGCCTACCCCAGTCCCACTTGTGTGTGTCCCCAAGGCTGGTGAAGCTGAGAGTGCCTGGCCTGTCCCTGGACTGTGCGGTCCCCAACGTGCCGGGACGTGGTGCTCTGACTGTGGTCCCCCTGCCTGTCCCCAGACTGGAACCAGCCCTCAGAAGCCCAGCAGACCCAGCAGGTGCAGAGGATCATCTCTCGCTGCAGCTGCCGCATGTACTATATCAGCTACAGCCATGACATTGACCCCGAGCTGGCTACGCAGATAAAGCCCCCCGAGACTCCCGCCAACCAGGAGAAGGAGGATCTGCTGAAGAAGCAGGAGGGTGAGTACATCCAGAGGTGCTGGCTAAGCCCAGGAATAGTCTGTCTTGGCTCTGCTGAGATCAGAGGGATGCATACAGGAGGGGTCCCCAGCCATGTGGCAGTGCACCAGATGATGCTGGACATGCTGTGCCTGCTGGAGCCAGCGTAACCACCTTGGCTCATTCCCCATCCCTCTCCGTCTCTGGCTGGCCCCCACGTGCATTCCATTTCTGGCCATGCTGAGGCCCCACTTGCCCTTTGTGTGTCCCTGCAGGAGCAGTGGACACATTCACGCTGATCCACCACGACCTGGAGATCTCCACCAACCCCGCACAGTATGCCATGATCCTTGACATAGTGAACAACTTGCTGCTGCACGTGGAGCCCAAACGCAAGGTACCCATGAGGCTTCAGATCACTGTGTCGATCACTGTGTCACTCACTGTACCCAGGGCAGTCCTAACCTTCCCCTATCCCTGTGTCCAGGAGCACAGCGAGAAGAAACAACGGGTGCGCTTCCAGCTGGAGATCTCCAGCAACCCCGAGGAGCAGCGCAGCAGTATCCTACACCTGCAAGAGGCTGTGAGGCAGCACGTCGCCCAGATCCGGCAGCTGGAGAAGCAGATGTACTCCAACGTGAAGGTAAGCCCACATCCCAGCAGGGCCTGGCTCCCCGGAGTCCCTGCTCTGGGGCAGAAGGTGCTGAGGGTTGTCTGTCCTTCAGTCTCTGCAGGATGACAGCAAAAACGAGAGCCTGCTCGACCTCAACCACAGGCTGCAGCAGCAGCTGAGCCAGGAGAAAGCTGACCTGCAGCTGGAGAGCGAGGAGCTGAACATACTGATCAGGTAGGGGCCACCTCTGGCTTCCCCAGCATTGTGTCCCCCTTACTGCAGGGCTCCCACATCCCAGCGCTGCCCTCTCTGCTGCAGGTGCTTCAAGGACTTCCAGCTGCAGCGAGCCAACAAGATGGAGCTGCGAAAGCAGCCAGAAGACGTGAGTGTGGCACGGCGGACTGAGTTCTACTTCGCCCAGGCACGCTGGCGCCTGACCGAGGAGGACGGGCAGCTGGGCATAGCCGAGCTGGAGCTCCAGCGCTTCCTCTACAGCAAGGTACCGAGCTGGCCGGTGGCATCCGCAGCCCCCAAGACAGGGCCTGGGAGGTGCGGGGCTGACGGGTCTGTGTGCGCAGGTCAACAAGTCTGACGACACGGCCGAGCATCTGCTGGAACTGGGCTGGGTCACGATGAACAACCTCCTGCCCAACGCTGTGTACAAGGCAAGTGGCAGCCTGGGGGAGCAGCCCTGCACCCTGGGGACCCATGGGTGGCCTGGCCAGGGTGGCCTGTCCTCACCCCAGCCACCCATCCTCTTCCCTGCAGGTGGTGCTGCGTCCCCAGAGCTCCTGCCAGTCCGGCCGGCAGCTGGCACTGAGGATCTTCAGCAAGGTCCGGCCGCCCGTGGGAGGCATCTCCATCAAGGAGCACTTCGAGGTGCTGGGGCCAGGCCGGGAGGTGGCAGGGTCCCCGCGGGGTGCAGACAGCGTGTGCCCGGCTCTGACGTGCCTCTCTCCCCACAGGTGAACGTGGTACCCCTCACCATCCAGCTCACCCACCAGTTCTTCCACAGGATGATGGGTTTCTTCTTCCCTGGCCGCAACGTGGAGGAGGAGGATGTGGGGGATGAGGAAGACAAGTCCAAGCTGGTGACAACAGGTGAGAGGTTCACAGTCACCCTCATCGCACCCAAGCGATGTCCTTCAGCAGCTCTGGCTGTGTGTCCAGGATATGTTTGTGGGCAGCTGCTGGCAGGCCACGGGGGACTCGCGGTCTCCCCTGTGGGCAGGGAGCCTTTGGGGAGAGCAGCGAAGCTGGGGGGGGCCTGGGTGATGGCTAACCCCCCGCTGGACACCAGCCACCGCCTCCCACCGTGTTTGTCCCAGGGATCCCTGTGGTGAAGCCGCGGCAGCTGATCGTGGCCGATGACTCGCTGGGCCCAGGGAAGGGAGTCGCTCAGGGACTGAATCGGACGTCAGGGGTCAGAAGATCATTCCGAAAAGCACCCGAGGTACCTGCTGCTGCCTTGAGGGGGAATCTGGGAGAGCCCTGCTGCGGAACCAGCCTCTTTTCCCTCGGCTGCAGGGCTGGGCAGCTCTGTCCTCCCCCGCTTGCCTGTCCGTTTTCTCCTGCTCCCTCCCACCATGAGGATTTGCATCCTTTACAACTAAGCACCTGCGCGCTTGATGTGATCCCTGCAGCATCTCATTTTCCTAACACCATGCCAGAGCAGCTCTCACCTCTCCCTGGTGAAGCAATGCCATGGCCTAGTGCCTGGCTGTCCCTTCCCCGCTGGTTCCTGGCTGTGTCCCCTCTCCTTCCCTTCTGCTCATGGCTCCTGCTCTGTCCCTAGCATCCTGTGGATGACATCGACAAGATGAAGGAGCGCGCGGCTATGAACAACTCCTTCATCTACATCAAGATCCCGCAGGTGCCACTCTGCGTCAGCTACAAGGTGCGGGGCCAGCGGGACAGGGCGTGCTGGGGGGTGGCCTGGGGCATCGTCCCACCCTGCCTGACACCGTTGTCACCCAGGGTGAGAAGAACAGCGTGGACTGGGGCGACCTGAACCTGGTGCTGCCGTGCCTGGAGTACCACAACAACACATGGACGTGGCTGGACTTTGCCATGGCAGTGAAGAGGGACAGCCGCAAAGCCTTGGTGGCACAGGTACGTGGGACCCCATCCTGCGGTGCCTCCTTCCCGCTTGCAGGGAGGCTGCCAGAGCCTCTCTGCCTGGGATGGAGGTGGTAACTCCACAGTGGGCGGCAAGCAGCCGCGCTGGCTCAGCAGCTCAGGCTCTCACGCACAGCAAGCGCCCTGGGTGCGGCCATGGGGTGCTGAGCCCCCTAAATCCCGGGGCAGGTGATCAAAGAGAAGCTACGCCTGAAGCCGGCGGCGGGCGCTGAGGCCCGGGGAAAGCTGGAGAACAAATCGGATGGGACCATGCAGCAGCAGGAGGAGGATGAGAAGGCGCGTCTACTCATCGGGCTGAGCGTGGGTGAGAAGAACCCCAGCAAGAAGTCGATCTTCGGCAGGCGCAAATGATAGCAGCACCCGGCAGGCCGGGAACGGACTGGGGCGCCCCATGCTCCCTGCTCTGGAGGGGCACCCCGAGGGCGGGGGGGCCGCGCTGTTCGGCGCGGTGATGCCCGAGGCGGGGATTAGCCTCGGGCAGCCCTGTCGCTGCGAGGCAAGGGTGCGGCAGCGCGGGGACGTGGGGTGCGGCGTGCTCCAGGGCCCCTTCGTGGGGCGCGGCGCCCCGTGCCAAGGGCTCCCATGAGCTTCCCCCGTCCCTGCTGTGCGGGTGCTGGGCCCAGCCCCTGGGCAGCAGGATCGCTCCAGGCTGGGAGAAAGGGGAACGGGAGAGACTTTAAATAAAGAGTTTTTAATTTGGAACGGTCTTGGGCCAGGGGCTCGTTCCTCACCCCCTCAGCTCGGCTGCACCTGCCCCGCTGTGGCCTCACCCCCTGCCCTTCCCCGGGGCTCCGGGGGCTCGGGGCTCCCTCGCAGCGTCTGCGTCACCCCGGGCTCAGCCCTTGCGCTTGTCCCTCTCCGGCCCCCGGGGCTGTGCGGGGCCCAGCGGGGGCTGCCCCGGGGCAGGGGGGCTGCGGCCGGCGGGG